CATAATATTTGTGTTACTTCCCATAGAGTACTTTTAAAATGCAATTTCATTTAAGCGTGGAACTGTTCTCTGATTAGACTAGAGTCAGGTAAAAGTCTGTTGTGTACATTGGGATACTGTGGACTAGTAGACATTTGATGTGACACTAATACATTAATTTATGCTCTGTAAAAGAACAAGATGCTCTGGTAATAAAACATGTGCAGATGGCACATTTAATGCAGTGTAAGAAGCAAACACTCTCCAAATAACTTTTTTGCTAGTTCACACTGCTAAGTTATGGGAGTTGTAGGACTGACAAATAAAGAAGTGGTGTAATATTGCCTATCAACCAAAATAATTACTTTAAAGACTCTAATTTTCTCCTCTTAGCATGCTGTTTACTCTGATGCTTCTTGCAACATTCGTAATTTATTTGAATGAACCCATTTCTTCATTAATGAAAACATCTGTTATAGGCCAGAGAATAGGAAGTGTTTGTAACCTTGACCCTTAAAATAAGCCAAAAGGAGAGCTTAAGTTTGAGACCCTTTGGGAGTTTCATAAATTTTAGGATTTCTTATACCATAGCAGGATTTATTATACCATATCAGGAATGCAAATAAGAAAAAACTCTGGCTTACTATTAAGACATTTCATGTAATATTTTGACATGCCTGTCTTTTTCAGAATAAAATGACATGCTGATACTGCTCATATTTGCCTTTACCTCAAGTTTCAACTGGTGGTAATCACAGAAGTTACTTCTCAGAGGCTGAAGGGTTGTTCCCTGCTTAGTTACAGACCCCTTACAGTTAATCAGAAGTTGAGGACTCAATATTTCCTTAGGTATTTTGTTGGATATTGATGGCTAAAGTAAACTAAATACTGGAATTGGGACTGTCTGATTTTTTGTGTCACAGAATGGGGAGTATTTTAGGTGACGGAAGAGGTTGAGTGCTCTAAATATTTGTTAGTTTGATCTTGAGGTAATGGGTGAAATGAACATATTTGGAAGACGGGCTCTTTCTGGTTGCTCACCCTAACCGGGTAACAGTAACTGGACAAACGTACAAGGGACTTAGTCCTGTGGGGAAGACGTGGTTTCGTGTGACACCTCTGGTTTTATGGGTTAGAATCGGAAGCTGTAAAGGTAGTGGCTTTCGTTATCAGTGTTATCCTATGAATACAAATGGACAAAAGATTGTCTTGCAAAAGAACTTGTCTTCTGAAGTCTGGAAACAAATCTGGCTTCTTGCCTTTCTTTTAGTCTAAACTATTTGAATTCATTATATGTATAGAATATGCAAATTTTGTATCGTGTCTATATACACACAGTCATTGTTTTGTTTACAAAGAAATCCTAAGTAGCAAAACAAAAATAACACTCTTACTATTAACATCCAGTGCATGAGAGCCCCGCCTGAGATTTTCGGCTCCTGCTCAGCTAGTTGAGATGCTGGGTGCAACCCTTAAACTCAACAAAGCAAAAGGATTTTGGAGCTAGAAGACTGGCGGTGTTGCTGCTTACTACTAGCAGCTTCTCTACCGTGCAGCAATAGTTTACTGGATGTATTTCATGCAATTTATTGATAGATCTTTCCTTCTGGTATTGCCCCATGCAGGAAATGGCTAATTTTCACACGTTATTTTGGTGCTGGCTCCACCTTGTAACTAACATCAGGGTATCTTACACTTTAAAAAAAAAAACAACCACCACAACCACCAAAAAAAGCCCCAAACCTGAAGGCAGTGGAGAAAAGGAGACAATGTTGAGAAGAAAAAACAAACATATTTTCTGACAAATGGGGAAAGTTTGTTTCCACTAAACCTGTGTACCACTTGAAGTTTCTGTAAAATGTTACAAAGTAGCATTTCATTAAGCAGGAAAGGGGAACGTTGATTTGATGGATTTGTGGTTGGTCTGTGCATTTTGGCACGGATTTTGCTAGCATAGTGAAAGTCTCAGTAAAAATGAAGGAAAAAAATCAGTTTAAATGAAAGTGGTTTGCATGTATCTCTAGTTATAGAGAAACTTCTGGAAATTATGATTAATGTCTTGCCAACTCTTGTACTGTTTTTTCCTTTTGAGACTGTTGGGAGAGGTCATTGTTCTGTCAACAGAATTACATTCTGATTTGAATCAGAATAAAGCCTTTCCTTCAAAACTTGCCAGGGTCTTGCCTGTATTGTGTGTGTGTGTATTTTTGTTTTGTTTTATTTGTTAAGCAGTAAAGGCTTAACTGGATTTATTCAGACACAGCTCTCCTGTAATTGTTGCCAGCTTTTATTGTGCTTGGGGGGAGATCAAGGTGATCTGCAAGTTATTTGTGTTAACGAGAGTCCTGGTTAACAGAAGCCAAATGCCGCCCACCGATACACAGAAGAAACATAATACAGCTCATCCAGTATGTCATTAGATATGTATTTGTGCCAGGTAAATAGTGCACTGCAAATCATAAAGCAATATTTCTGAAACCTGTTGATAATTTAGGTCAAATGTATTATATAAACGATGTTACCGAATAGGTCCTGTATTGCTTGTTAACACCACGTTATGAAGGCAACTGCTAATAATTTGCTGTAGCGTGAGTAAGCAGTACAGCATCAGTTACAGTTAGTTATGTCTCGGGCACTTGAGATCAGTCTCAACACTTTCCTCAAATACTCTTGTCTGCAGTGAAAAAGTGGATGAAAAGGGGGGATGGGAGACGTTCTCAGGTCCCACACAGCTGAGCAGGCTAAGACCTTTTTGAAAGTTAATTGATTTGCAGTCTGAGTAAAAATTAGTTCTGAACACGAGGTCCTGGATTCACGAAGGCCAAGAGCATTTAACTGCCACAGTGGATTTTGCTGCTGTGTGACGGCTCTGAACTGTTCCGTTAGTGAGCTTGTTGGGAAATGCTGACCATTTTTGACAGCCTTCTGTGCTCTCTTTGAAGTGGGAGAATAGGTTGCAAAAGTGAATGTTTTTTCAGGAAAGAAAAAAACGCCACCTTGGTCAATGTGCTCTTAAACTTGTGGCTTTGGGAGACACAGTGTAGCACTAGTACTTACCAAACTATCATTAAAGGACTGTCAGGACTTTTATTATATAGGCTATTTTGTGTAAATGTTTTATGTTTCTCTGTAAATGCCTTTTGTGGGTGGCACTGAGCTAGTGCAGCCTAAGTATTTGCAGCTATCTAGCAGAAAAAAAAAAAAAAAAAAAAAAAAAAAAAAAAAAAAAAAAAAACAAACACTGGCTGAGAATTTTTAACTTGCTGAATTTTAATGTATTTCATAGTATCTATTGCTGTTCTGTATCTATTGCTCTACGCTTTCTTTTTTAATGCATGTTATAGATTGCTCACGGTGTATAATATTAAGTGCAACCATTATTTTTGCTCTGCTCCTTGAAGATGGAGTTGCTCCCACTTCTGATACATGCACACAACACAGCTTTACTTCTGTGCACTGCCTTGGGTGCCACCTCACGTAAAACACTTACAATCTTCGTAGCCACCCTATATTTGCAGGCAGCGTGTGAGATTTTTCATGTATTTTCTGTACTGGTTGTTTATAGACCGGTGGTTCCCAAAGCTTCTTCGGCTGCGAGCTCCCCTTCTGACAGGACTGTGGCCTCAGTAGAGGCGTGAAGAGCTGGGCAACTCCTGGGGTGGTGGCTGCAGTTATCACTGCTGCAGCTGTCCGATTGGGGCTGGTGCAGAATCCTGAGTGCTTGAAGCTTTCTTGATTGCACAAACACAGTAATAATATTGAGGAGCCCAACTTGGGTGAAACTTCGTTGATAACTAGTGAGGCCTGACATCTTCCTGGGCCCAGTAAGGGGTCCCTGACAAAGAGCACCCCACCGGTTTCTCAGAGCGGTGTTGTGGAGGTGGATGACTTCCTGTCTGCTGCCTCCTTCCTCCTCCTCCTCCTCCCCCCTGGCTTTGAGCTTGCTCCTCTCCAAGCTGGACTGCTGGCTGACTCTTCCACAGCAGAAGTTACAGCTTAATTTCTCTGGCAAATCACTTAAATCCTAAATCAGCACTGAGGGACTGTTTGACTGTAGTGCTTCCCAGTCCCAGTGAGTCATGTTGGTGACCCCTGTTTCTAATACGTCATCATCTGCAAATATTTATGGACTGCTCTGTTTTCCTCTCTGTCATGACATAATAGTGAGCAACCGTTATTGATTTATGTATGTGTTTGCATAATGAATAAATTCTGCCTTTGTATGTCATTTTTTAAAAAAAGTTATGTTTAGGAATACCAAGAGGTGGTGTGCTTCATCTTCAACTGTCTCTGTACAAGGAGGAGGTGCCTTTGCATTGTGCGAGTAACTGGATGTTAAGCAAACCAAAATGCAGGTGGCTGGGAGGGGTGTTCCCCGGGGGCATCCGGTGGCAGAGCTGTGCCAGGCTGACATCCAGTAGCGTAGCTGGTAGGAACTGAGGCTAATGCTGCAGTGAATCAGGTATCAGGACCCCGCCCCCAGCCCCCATCAAGCAAGTGGGTGCAAATCCCTCACCAGCTCCTCCACGCTAACCTGAAACCACAGCTGTCTACGCTAGCTTCACCAAAACAGTTACAGGTGGGATTTTATAAAACAGCAGTGGCAAGTATCGTTTTCAGAGAAGTGTAACACTTCCTTATACTTGTACTACATGCCTTAGTTCTTCCCTCATTGGATGTTTGCTCCTTTATGCTTTTATATGTGCTTTGTGTGACTATTTTTAAAATGATACGATGTGCTGTATACTGACATACACAGTGGTAAGCTTTGGGTGCTCTCAAACAGCTGTGGAAACAAGAAATGTTGTGTAGTTCTGAAATTGTTAGTCGTTCTTCAACAACAAATAACTTTAAGATACTTTTAAATCTGAAATAAAAACTTGAAGGCTACTCTAACTTTCTGTTGCACGAGATATACAAATGATCAGAATGATGACACCTCTGGCAGTGTTTTGGGATTATTTTTGTTACGCTCAGGTTTTTTGCTTAACATCGGATGACGAGATTGAGCAAGTGGGCTGATGTATGAAATCTTGGTTTTGATAGATTTCCAGAAGAAGCAGCCAGACGATGACTCTACTCCCAGCACAAGCAACAGCCAGTCAGATTTGTTCTCTGGAGAAACGAACAGTGACAACAGCAATACCTCTCTAACCACGCAGGCCGCTAACTCCAACCAGCAACTTTTGACAGAACTGAATGTAACTTCACCGAGCAAAGAGGAATGTAAGTGCCCAAGTCCTAAGTGACAGCAAAGGAGGCATAAACGTTTTGGTTTGTTCTCAGGCTTATGTTTTACTTGCTCCCTTTGGACGTAAATGATCTGTCCTTTGGGACAAAGGGAAAGGTTAGAAATTATTCACAAAATAGACATTGATGGCTTTAACAGAAGAATGAGTTAAAAGTGGTCGCAGGAGTTTCTAACTAACTTTACAGCTGTTTGAACTGCAGTGTACAATTTAATTATAATTTTGAGGCACTCTCATTTTGAGAAACTTTTGTGCATTACTGGGAAATTAGTATATATATTCTAGGATAAACACCAATGTCCTATACATTTTTACTTCAAAACCTTTTGTTTTTTAATAATTGCAGTTGCACGTAGCACTGGCTGTAATGCATGTTTGTCTAGACTGCTGCTAGGTTACTTGCATAACTTGTCTCTTCTTTCATGACCCATCTTTCTTCTTTCTTGAACTCGGTAAGGCAAAAATTCTCCCTGCAGGTAAGCTAAAATGTTAAAGCTCAGCAAACACAGTGAGATAAAGTTGTCTTTTAAGTTATTCTAAACCTCTCTATATATTCTGTGTCTAATATATGGAGTTTTAAAATCTGCATTCTACAACTTAAGCTCAACTATGTAATTTGTAGTTTCATTTTCCTCCAACTGTAGCTTTATTTTGGAAGATGCTTTATGGAGGGAATCCTTCTTCAGCTAAGTTTGCTTGTGCCTCTTGGCTGGTAAATAGACGTACACATTGCAAGAAAAACACGCCCATTTTTTAGTAGGGAATCTGCTAGAGCTGCTCTGATTCTTGAACATTGAGGCAACTGCTGGAAATAACAACGCTGGCAAAGCACTAGGACTAAAAAGCCTTTGATATGCTACACTCATTTTCAGTTGTGTTAACTGTTTGCATAGGATGGTCTTGCTGAGTTGCTGAAGTATGTATTCTGCTTACAGGTATGTAGACTTTGCATGTGTATTCTTTTTACTTCTGCAGACTGGGTGTGGACGAAGCGTAAAGTGTCATTTGGGGATTGTGGTAGTTTGTTAGACTAACTAAAATAAAATTTTTAAATTGAATTATTGTTTTCTACCTGTATGTGAGAATATAGTCAGAAATACAGCAGGGTTCAAATGTGAACATTCTGATACCCGTTCTTGTAATAAGAGTAAACTTGCTGTGTAACTCTTGTCTCTCCTTCGCATACACAGTTGCTGCTGACCACCCATCATCTCTTCCTTCTGTCCAGCGCTTCTTCAGGGGAAACCTGTAGTCTGCTGTAAAAACAAGGCCTTAAAACAACCTTCCTAGAGAATTCAGCACAACATTATGCTTCAGCAACACATTTGGGCCTTCACAGGGCAGGGGGCTTCAGCACCTCTGCTGGCTTATTAGCCAGGATCTACTATTTGGTGTTACAGGCTGCTGCTCCAGTGCTTACTGGGTCAGGTTTTCTGAAGATTTGTTTAGTTAGGAATTAAATTGTGTTACAACAAAGTGTTTCTGTGGTGGCTGAGAAGGACTTGGGGGTAAGTGGGAAGGTGACTACAGGGATGGCAAGGAAATTAAAGTGTCCTTCATCCTGAATTGCTGTAAGCTTGTGAACATGCACTGAAGGTGATGGATATTAGGCAGCACAGCCTGCAGAGCATTTGAAAATATTACCTATAAAAAAAAATTCTTTATGACTTCCTGCTGGGATGATTTTAAGTGAAATACAGTGGAGAGATTTATTTACAGCTTGAGCTCTCTCTGTCTTCTCTCATATCCCCACTCTCTCTTTAATGAAGCTTAATATCATTTATCAGAAATAATTATACACAGATGGAGCTTTTCTGATGGATAATGGCCTCAGCGTGGAAGATTCTCTCCCATAACGAAGAATGCCCAAACTTTAAATGTCTGTTTGATTTTTAATTTGAGGGTGTCTTTTTTCTGTGCATTATTTATTTATTTTGCAGCGAGTTCTATAAAGCATGCGCTGCTCTCATTACAGTTGTGTTCTTCAAAGACTGATATTTTGCAGTGCCGTGTGATGATGTACAGCTATATGCTGTTCTGAATAGAATTGTGGTAATTCACCAGAAATCAATGTATGGGATCATTATGGTAATCCCTATCAAAGCGTGGAAAGATGGGAGTACTTGAGGAGGATTCTCGTGGTGCATTCCACTCCCCTCTCTTCCCTTTCAAGGTTTTGAGAAGAGTCTCACATCAAGGTATTTGCCATAGTACTGGAGTCCACAGGGTAAACAGATTGGGCAGAATTGCAGCAAGTCATTTAGGCAATTAACACATTCCATTCACACTACGACAACTGAAGAGAACCACAGAAATCTCATGTGGTACGGTTCATGTTCTGTGTCAGAGAAAGCAAGGGGTGGTTTTGTACTTGTTTTTAAGCAGCCATTTCCATTTTTAACACAGAATGAATGATATAGGAGAAAAGTTCCTCGGACTGGATTTTGCAGGAGTTCTGTTTGACAATATGCAAGTATTTCTGCCTTTTTTGTTACTGTTTTGATTGTCTGAGAGTTGCATTTGCATTCCTGAGTGTCTCATATACACAACCAGGTTGTAGTGACTTTCCATCTCTGGCCACCCTCAGTTCTGAACAGTCACCTACCCCAGTGGCTGTGTTGCTGATTAATGTCTCTCCCCCCTGGCAGATGAAAGGTAGCTCTCAGTCTTACAGTTACAGTCAACAAAAACGTGTTAAAGATTTATGCCCAGAGACAGTGATGCAAGCTTCAGGACTTTGTTTTCCTCCTTCACATGTGTTTTGTTGTTATGAAGTATTGCTTATCACCAATTAAAAAAAAATGCTGTTGCAATTA